TATCATATAATATTTATCTTAACTTAACTAGGAAAATAAGACAGTTTGACAAATACAACTGAAAAGACCTGGTCGGGGACCGGCAGACTGTTTGGAGCCGAACGGCATTTAGACGACCGGGGCCGTTTAAGGAGACTGACGATTTGTAGCAAAATCCCGGAAGTCAGAGTTGATTGCACTGAAGCGACTTCCGAACCGAAGATGATGAAGTCCGAAGAAAACGCCAGCCAAGACAAGACCGAAGCCCGGACCGAAAGCCGAAGACCCAGAATAAAAAACGAATCCAAAAATAAAACAGCCCAGAATGATGGAAACCATGGGCTATATAGGGGAGATAGGTCCTATCCCTAAGAGGAGGTGGCCCGGTATGTTTATCCCCCCTGTATCCAGCTGTAGTCGCTGGATACAAAAAACGCATTATTTTACAATTACATGTCAGCACTGGCTTTTGTATTTATGCAAAATCCGATGGGAGGCATAGGGTGGGTTACGGCAAGGATGGGAAAAAAAAGCTAAAGGGGAACAAAGGACAATTTGAATAATGGTTTTGTTGTTTGAGAAATTTTAAAAAAATGAGAAATATTTACATCTGCATGCATGGAATTTCACCTCCAGTATGAATTAAGACTATACGTGAACATAGAATACCCTTGCAAAGTTGTAGCTTCGCACCTTATCCGGTAATCGAAAAAGCCAAGTAGCTACAAATGTCTTTGAATTGCTCTAAATCGTGGCGCATGTGCAAACCGAAACTCTATTTAGGTGTACGATTTCCTGCACAAACAACAAATATTGACGAAATTTCAGCTACAGCTTCTAGGCTAGTTTTTGAGTTAGGACAGTACCAGACCGCGAACTTTGACGTGACAGTACACGTGTAGACGTGTGCGGTAGATGAATTTGAAATCTTCAGCGAATACATGCACAGGGGATACTTCTACAATGTTTCATCTTTCTAATTTATCTGGGTCATGAAGTCACTTCCCGTCAATGAAATTTACATATTTCTTTTGTTGATCCGTACACTATATCTACGCGCGTATGAGTGAAGTTTTTAAAACGGTAGGGTAACGCATGAGGTGGGGGTATGCCCCCAAAATTTCAGCCTTGCAGCTTTTTTGATTGCTGAGTTGAAAGTGGGTGACAAAGTTACTTTCTTCCGAACACACACACGGACAATCTCTCGACAGTATGCGTTTTTGTTCAACACAGAAGCGCTATAGCGTCGCACAGCAAAAACGCATAAAAAGTGCAGAGAGGATAGTAACAGTAGTACAAATTTTAACTCAGGTTGCATCGCATCCGGGTTTACTGAGCGACTACGCATTTTGGGTTAAACTTTTAGCAGTTGGATCGTCGATAGCATGAATGATACCTGAGTACTAATGTTGGCTGTGTTTTGGCCTTTTCTCGGACGCAATGGAAAGAGCGGGTTAGATGGAAGTATCGCACATAGGGCCGCCTCGTCCTCAAGCTTGTATGATTATCAATTTTGCATGGTAAGAAATGAATACTTACCCACAATCGGTAGTTCAAATAAAAAGCGCAAATTTAATAATGAATATGATGTTGGAAGGGAGGGATTACGAGACTCGCAAAATGCACTCGCTTATGAGGTTGCGACAAAATCGGATGTTTACTCCGTTTGTGCGCGGAGAATTTCGCCTCAGAGATAGATTCAGGCGACACCTGGACGTGGGATATTCTTGGAGAGTTTTAACCTCGCAACTTGTCCGGTAAACGAATTTACCAATTCGTCACAAATAACTTGACGTGCCTTAAAGTGTGGCGTAAGCGCAGATAGAAATTCGATTTGAATGTGCGATTCCCCCGATGGATGATAGATATTCTGGCAAAACATTCAAGTTATTGGGTTGGGCCACGTGCTGTCGGCCTTTTCACTTTTCCTGAGCTCAAGTACGGTTAGAAACACAAAAAGGTTACCAATGAAAAGAAGTGCTCGCCCGAAAAAAAGAAACGAAAGAAGATCAGAATTGTGAACTGTATAAGAAAAAAAAGCAACAATAAAAATAAATAGCAGCGCGCACCAGAATAGCCGGAGCGATCATGCGTTTTGTGCAATTCAGTTCACCAAACGAGTGCCAGTAAATGATTTTCAATGCTTTGCACTTTAGTCTGTGCAAAAATACTTGAAATGTTGAGAAATAGTTAAAAATTTCACGCATCAGCACATGAAATCGGAATTTGAAACCTCGAAGGGTGAATATCCTTCCAAAATTTCAATCTCTTAATTTTCTGGTTTTTGAATGAGCTCTGAGACAAAACCTTCACGTGGTCGTACGTGAGACCTTAGCATACTCAGAGACTGGATTCGGTTTTGTTAAGCTCATGTTTAGGCAGGAAACATTCTCCTGAAATTTTTATTCCCCCTAACTTTTCTGCCTCACAGGATAATGACTTTTCTCGCCAAAACTTCCCATGAGGACACTGAAAATTTGCGGAGTTGTGTGTGAGTAGGGGATGCCGTGCTACAATTTCAGCTTTCCAGCTTTTCCACTTCACGAGATAACAATTTCCCTACCAAAACTTTCACACGGCGTACATGGTGCCCAGCGGTATGTGAAGGCTGGATCCAAATTTGCGGGGATCTCACGTTGATAAGGGACATCGCTCTAAAATTTCAGATTCTCAGCTTTCGTGGATCCGGAGATAATTTCCTCTGCTGAAACTTTCACGGGGCCATATGTGATACCTGGGCGCGCTGGAACGCTGAATCTAAATTTGCATGGTTGTACGTGGGCAGAGAGTAATTACCCTAAAACCTCGACTTCCTCGTTGTTTCCGAGATAATAATTTACCCGTCAAAATTTTCAAGGGGCCGTTTGTGTCGCTCGCAAGCAAGAGAAGGCTGAATATGAATTGCAAGGTCGTGCGTGGGCAGAGGGACATTACTCTAAAATTTCAGTTTCCTAAATTCTGTGATTCCCGAGATAATTTACCCACAACATAAATTCTTACGGGGCTGTACGTGTTACTCGCGGACAGGGAAAGACTGAATTTAAATTTTCTGGGTAGTACATCGGCGGGGGACACTCCCACAAAATTCCAGCCTTCTGGTTTTCGTGGTTTCTGTAATAATTTTACCCGCCAAAACTTTTGCGTGTTGCCCGCGAGTACGGGAAGGTTGAATTCAAATCTGCAGGTCACACTTGGGTGGGAAACATTCTCCTAAATTTTCAGCTTCCTAGCTTTGTGGTCCCCGAGTTGAAAGTTGCAGACAAGCTGCTGCGGACACACACATACACAAACACACACAGACAACCGCATGACAATATGCGTTTTGTACTGCTGTTATACAGCACAAAACGAATAAAAATAGCCGATTAAGGTGAAATTTTTGTCTCGCTACATCTTAAAACCAATCAAGAATTACCACTTCAACAGTCGGCAACTCGGGCTTAAGCGTCACTGATTTCTCTTCAGTTTCTGTGCTGCCACTATTTTTAGTTTTTCCAGACACTTCTGAAAAACCTAGTAAAATAACGCCTCTAAAGTTTTGTAATGGCAAGAAAAGTCGATTTTTCGCCTTTGACGTCTTTACTCAGCCTAGCATCTTTGACTTTCTTGCCTTTCTCGTCGGCATAATATTCCTGATATTTAGTTGGATGGACGAGTTCAACGTGACGCTCAATCGAATTTTCACCACAAAAAACCACTCCTATAAGTATGCTAATCCAAAAACATTTTTTCCTCTATAAAAATGAACAAAGGCTGGAACGCACCAGGCGATCCGGTGCGATCATGCGTTTTTGCATCAAAACTAAAGTAAAAGTATTGCCCGAGCGTTCGTTTCCAAAAGAACCGCGTTCATTACACATACGATTGGGGTTGAGGTCCGAGCTGAGAACGGATTTTTGAAAATATGCAAATTTTTAGTTCATT